CACCACCCAAACCACTGTCCTCCCATTGCTGGGTGTCAGGTCAGTTATAAAGTCCATAGTAATGACAAACCACAGCCTCTCAGGAGTTTCCAAAGGTTGCAGTAGTCCTGGGGGTTTCCCAGCCCGTTGTTTCCCCATTACAATACTTGGCAAGAAGACGCGTATTGGGAAATATCAGTCTGCATGCACGGCCACCACAACTGTCTTTGTAGAAGGTGTAACGTCTTTAAGTACCCGAAATGCCCAGCCAGCTTGTTGTCATGCCCCAGCTGCAAAACATCCCCCCGCTAGGCTTTGGCCGCGAACAGTTTCTGTTGGCGGTAAAGGTAAAGGTTCCCTTGCTCGAAAGCCAGTCGAATCCGACTCTAGGGTTGCGGTGCTCATCTCCGTCTCAAAGCCGAAGAGCCAGCGCTGTCCGAAGACGTTTCCGTGGTCATGTGGCCAGTACCCCCACCCATTTCCCCCCTGAGTGAGGGTGCCCTCTTTTTCCACCTTGTCGCTATCACTGAAAGCAGCTTTAAATTTCTCTGCCCAGAATTCTGTATTGAGGGACCCCTCCACCTTGGCCTGGCTCCATGTGAGAACTGCCCCCCCCCCAGTTGGGTGGGGGTGAACATTGAGTCAATGACTTCCTCTCACTGACTGGCATAGTGGGGAAGGTGCGAGAGTCCATCAACCAGAAAGTTGGACTTCCCCGGGAGGTGCTGAAGTGAAATCGGCACTTGGAGAAAAATTCTGCCCAGTGCAACTGTTTAGCATTTAGATGTCGGGGAGTTGTCAGCTAAGCTGCCAATAGTATGGTGTCTGTTTCTCTTTGCTGTGCATTTCTTCCCTTGCGCTTAATTGCCTCTTCATTGCAATGCATATCTCTCAAGGCCACTGGAGGAGTTGCTATGTCTGGAAGTCGTGGGAAACTTCTCACCTACCCTGCTTCTGCAGCCATTAGTTCTCAGCCAAATGCCCGTGCGCGGGAACCCACCTAATTGGGTAATACGTGGGGGGGTGTATACGAATGCCCTATAACCTATTATGTGCATAGATCACCCGCCATTCCTAACAGTGTTCCTGTTACTGCATCTATGGCTTTTCAATAAAAGTAAAAGCTTCCTGGAAGCGTGTACTTCGTTGTTTTGCTGTGGGTCCTGACAGAAGTACACAGCACCTCCCAAGTTCTTATGGTCAGTCCACACCTAGAACGGCACTCGAGCTCCCTCCAACCAATGTCTCCAAGTCGTCAGAGCCAGTTTAATTGCAGCAGCTTCTTTATCCCAAATCTCCCAGTTCCTCTCAGTCTCTGAAAACTTTTTCAACACATATGTGATGGGGTGCAGATTTCCATCCCTCCCATGCAGTATCGCGCCTCCCCATCACCACATCGGAAGTGTACACTTGCACCACAAAGGGCTTATTTTCATCAGAATGCCTTAAAATGGGCTCAGAAGTAAATAGAGCCTTCAGTCTGTCAAAAGCCTGCTGGCACTCCGGGGTCCACAACAACTTGTAACTTGGCTTGTGACTTTCCAGTCCCTTCCACTTTTTTTCAACAGGTCAGTAAGAGGTAGAACCACCTGGGCGAAATTGGGGATGAACTGGCAGTAGAAAGTGGCAAATCCAAGGAATGATTGTAAATTCCTTCTTGTTCAGGGGGCCTTCCATCCCAGTACATCCTGAATTTTGTGGGGATCCATGCCCGGACCCCTCCTGGAAATCTGATATCCTAAAAAGTCCAGGTCCTCTGTATGGAATTCACACTTAGCTTTGCAAACAGGCGGTTTAGCATGTCTCTGACGAGCTGCACATGTGACTCCTTATCTTTTGAATAAATCAAGATATCTAGATGAACCAGGACCCCATACGTAAATATTTATGCAACACCTCATTGATCAACTTCATGAACACCCCTGGGGCCCCCGCGAGCCCAGATGGCATCACCAGGTATTCAAACTGCCCAAGCAGGCTGTTAAAGGCAGTCTTATGTTCGTCCCCTTCCCTGATGTGCACTGGGAAGTAGGCATCTCTCAAATCCAACTTAGTAAAGATGCGGCCCTGGACAGCCTCTGCTAACAAGTCCTTAGTCAGTGGGAGGGGTAGGCATTAGACATGGACACAGCATCCAGGCCCCAGTAGTCCATACACAGTCTCAACCCCCCATCCTTCTTTCTGCAAAAAAGCACCGGAGCAGCAAAAGGCGAGGCTGCTGGCCGGATAAAACCCCTGGCCAGGTTTTTATCAATGAAAATCTACAACAGCTAATATTCATATAGTTCATACACATGCATCCAAAGATATGCCTGATATTTATTAAGCCATGGATTAATCTTGCTTTGTAGGCAAGGAAACAAAGTACAGTTTGTGCTGTACTTAAAGGGATGGGGGAGGGTGTGTGCAAGCACAAGAGGGGAAATAGGATTTCCTTTTCTCCAGGATTCCCGGTAGGTCCCCCGCTCGTTCTCTGTGTTGCTGTTTGGAGGTTGAGGATTCGTTCAAAGGGTTAGTGTGCAAGCAAAATATCAATCTGTGAATCCAGATTAATAATTACCATATTGGTAGGGTAGGGAAAGGATCCAGTGATTCAGTGGTCATATCCAGCACTGCTAATTCTTATGCCTTTCTTTCAGTAGGATTCTACTTCTCATGCTATCATTACCCACCCACCCCCCTTTGCACAGTTGCTTGTCTTTACTGGTTAAAGGTCAAGGGTTGGTATGCTGAAGGATCACTGTAATTTGACTGTGTTGCTTAACAGAAAGGTGTTTTCCCACAGTTGGTGCTCTAGCACCTTTGTCCTGCCTGGGATTGAGGGTTATAATACTATCATAGCCTAGTAGGGTTCCCTGAAGGCAGATGGGTTGAAAACATTATCTACATTGGCTTGCCTGCTGAGGGATCCTGGTACATATCCTCTGTGACCCCTATGCCTTGCATAGTGGCCTGTTGCATGTTTTCTGAAACTGCGTTCTAAAACATTGCCAGGATCATCGTGTTTCTGGGAAAGACCATGCTGTACAAGGAAGCTCATGTACCTTTACCAAGGAATTCTAATTCGAAGATTCCTGGGAATGGCAGTTTGAATACCACCGTGCACGTCAGTAGTATCCGAGTTGTGGATGGGGAAGCCAGACAAAACTGTCTTGAGACAAGCCACATGTAAAATCAGATGTGCAGGACTTCCGGTTGATGGCGGCACGCTAGACAGACGCATCTCCCGGACCTCCCAGGGATGAGGTCTGTGCATGGCGGGAAGGAGGGGGAGCGCTGGCCCTTTACCCCCCCAGGGAGCCTGGCGGAAGGCTCCTAGCCAGGGGACTTGTGAGGAGTCGCCTCTTCGCGTATGCGTTGTGGATGAATTGAGGCGCTCCTCCGTCCCAATGGTCCTTCCTGCACAGTGCCCAAATGGGACCTAGTGACGCTGACCAGAAGACCAGATATGAATGTGAGTCTGACTGAGCAAAACTACGGTTAAAGAGAAAAAGAAAGCTCCCCACCCCATGTTGAAAAACGGAAAGTGAAGTGGGCGGGGGAGGGAAGCCTAACCGCATGAACTTTTGAGCGAATTGAGGGGGGGGAGCGGAAGAGAAGGCATGCATAACTGTTAAGAAATACTTACCAAGGTGAGTTGAGGCATTTGAGCGCATATTCAGAGACTTTCAAAATATTTTTCAAAGTAAACAACTGAATAAGATGGCGGGGAAGAGGACGGAGAAAGAGAAACTTTCAAAATCGAAACTAACGGAGAGCCCTAAACCGGAAGGAGCTAACAAGCTGGCAAAGACTTTGGCAGAATCCATGTGCCCTCTACTGGACCAAATGAGTAACCTCAAGGATCAGATGTCGAAAATGACTGTGTGCATCACCACACAGCAGACACAGATAACCGAGACACTTAAAATGATGAATGAAATGGCTGAAAAGGTTAAAGAAGTGGATGCCACTGCACAAAAGGTGAAAAAGAAAGTTCAAAAGCTGGAAAAGAAGCAAGTTTCTATGGAAGATCAACTGCTACAATTACAAATGGAAAAGGCTAATATGATCCTTCACTTCCAGGGCTTGCCAGAGACAAAGGGAGAGAACTAATGAGTGAAGTATTGGCCCCAGTGACAGATATGAAGGCGGAACTCTTGTTAAACAAAATGGATGTGGCCTACAGGTCATATTCAGGATATATAAAGAAAAACAATCTGCCTGGGGAAATTGTGGTAAGATTCTCGAAGAGGCATGTGAGGGATACAATCCTGAAAGCAGTATCTGGAGCACCCCTGAAAGTGGGGGAGAATACCATCAGGGCGTTAAAAGACATTCCATTTGAAGTAAGACAAAGGAGAAAGAAATATAAAAAATTAATTCTTTTTCTACAGACAAATGCAATTGAATATAGATGGTTAACTCCAGAAGGCATAACCTTCAAAATCAAGGATAAAAAAGAAAAGATTGACTCTGTCCAGAAAGCACAGGAATTTTTAAGAGTCCAGATGGGAGGGCCAGGGAAGGAAGGAGAAAAAGGGGAGGACAGTAAGTCCAATGGCGAACTGGACTCGGAATCCTCCGGGGAGGAGACTCTATCAGAGGAGGGGGCGGCAGCCCCTAAAAGTCCTTATAAGCTTCAGAAGAGACTAGGCAAGGAGAAGTAAAGGCTGAAGGACTCTGAACTGTGCCTTTAAAAAATGTTGAAGTGAGATGCTTTGGGGTGTTTCTGTATGACAGTTAAACTTAAGATTTGAAAAAGATAATGTGAAACTTGACTCATTTGATAGTAAGATTAACGGGATTAAGACTAAATGTATGGTTAAACTGGTGGGATGATCTCCTCTCTTGAGTTTTTAGTCAGTAGTGGGTATCTTTCTTTATCCTATAAATGTAGTCCCCCCTCCCATTTTCTGTTGTAGTTTCTAGTGTTATAAAAATGCAATAAAAATCCCTTCCGGGGGCTTAAAAAATAAAAAATAAAATCAGATGTGCAGAATGTACAATTGAAGAACTTGTTTTGTTTTCCTCCTCTGCAGCTTGCAGGAACAGCCGTCCTCGCAGTTGGACTATGGCTTCGGTTTGATTCGCAGACAAAAGACATTTTTCGGGATGAGAGCAATACAACATTCTATACAGGTACGTTGCAAAGGAAAATAATTCTGTTTCGGTTACATGAGCAGCAGTGCAGTTCTGAAGCTAAGATATTTTTCTTAACACTTCCTGTAACACCAGTGAAGCCTGACCAAAAGGCCCTAGGCCTTGTCAAATAACGTATTGACGGTGGAAAGCCATTATTGTATATGTAAAGGCACTTAATATTGAGTGGTTTACTGTGCAGGAGGGAGCATTTCCAGACCTCTTAGAAAATCAAAACATTTGTATAAAAGAAGGTGAGGGAGGCCATAACTGCCTGAAATGTAAAACAGGTCACTTGTCTTATACATAAAGTCGGGGGTCATGAGGTGTGTTCCAGAATGGAGGCACACTTTGACACTAGCCAGAAATATGAAATCTGGTGTATCTAGAACACGAGGGATCCTGTTTATGTTGTGCGTGTAAAGTGCCACCAGGTCTCAGCTGACTTAAGGCGACTCCAGCAAGGGGCTTTCAAGGCTTGCCGTCCTCTTCAGTCTTCCTTGGAAGGTCTCCCATCCAAGTACTATCCAGGGCTGACCCTGCTTAGCTTCTGAGATCTGATGAGGTCAGGCTATGTACCATGCCTCCTCCACTTGCACCTGCTGATGTGACCTTGGGTCAGTCACAAGTTCTGGCACAGCTGTCCTTGAAAAAGAGCAGTTTGTGTCAGAGTTCTCTCAGCCCCGCCCACCTCACAGGATGTCTGTTGTGGGGAGGGGAAGGGAAAGGAGTTTGTAAGCCGCTCTGAGACTCTGAGTGAAGGGCGGGATATAAATCCAATCTCTTCTCTTCTTCCCTCCCATCCTGTTCACTTTAGAAGTTTGAAAATTGAGCTCTCTGATACTTAGTGGGCAAAACACAGGGCGTACATTTTGCCTCTGAATAGAGCCAAGCATGAGTCGACGTCCACCAAGCTTGCAGCACAGTTGACGTGTTGCAGGATGCCCAGGGATAGTTTGGGCTTACATCTGCTCTGATCTCTCAGTATTTTCTGATTTGGGGTCCACTTCAGTTCTCTGTGAGTGTTCCATTCATTGAGAGCATTGCATAAATAATAGTAACTTGGGCGACTATTTGAATACCAAGGTTATGATAAGAGCCTACCTCCGAGGACAAAAGACAATGGTTCTGGCACAGCCTGTGTTTACAGTAGTGCTGTCTCATTCAGAACTCTTCTAAGCATATAAATGTGTCTGTTTCCCCCTCCCTAAACTGTCTGAACATGTAGTGCAATCTGAGAGATCTAGGAAAGTAAGCAAAGTTTTTCCATGACGTACAGATTGATACACCTACTATAAATTCTAGTCACTCCAGCACATGTATGGTAGGATTTCTGACATGTGACTTCAAATATTCTGGCCAGGTGCATGGATTGGGGAAGGTGGAGTCTTCATGGGTGGGTGGGGGTTTGGCAGCCATGGGAACTTTGGCAAGCACAGACTTTCTTGCATCCGGTCCCAGCCTGCTGGTGGCTTCAGGGTTTGAAGCTGGGCTCTAGGCTGCACCAGTTACCTTGACAGGCTTCTTACAACCACTGATGTCATAGTCATATGACTCTTTGGCGACACACTGCGGCACATGCACAGAAATCCAGGTTTTGTGCAGCCATCCAATTCCCGTCCCCATTGAAATGCTTCATTGTGAACGTTTGCCAGATCCACATATTACAAAATAAATGCCATCAGCAAAATTCTGGCAACCAACAAAACAAAGGGAGCAGTAGAAAACCCTGATTCATTCTGAAACAGCTAGGTATATTTCGGGTGGGTTTTTTTGAAAGAGTATTTACTTTTTTGTATTTAGACATTTCATCATCTGAAAGGTTTCTAAAGCCACTTGGATATCATCAATGTAAATTGTTACGAAAACAGCCTGCTAAAAGGTTAGGCAGCGTAAGATCTCTGGAGAAGCAAGTGGCAATGGAGCAGAAAGCTTTCATATTTCTCAGTCTTGGCAAAGCTTATCAGCTGAGGGTGACTCTCCTTCTTGTGTTTTATACTCTGTCCCTAGGAGTCTACATTCTAATTGGAGCTGGTGCTCTCATAATGCTTGTGGGTTTCCTGGGATGTTGTGGAGCGATACAGGAGTCCCAGTGCATGCTTGGCTTGGTAAGTAATAGCATCTGTCCCGCTGAGTCAATAATCAGCAGAACTGGGTGGTAAACACCTAGGTGAGCTGGAATCCTTTGGGGTGCAAAGGTGAGAAGGCCTGTGTCTGAAATATCTCTTGGTGCGCCATGGAGAAAGCATCCCTGCACCTTAGAAACTCGCGTGACTCCTCCATGCTCTTTTCCTGTGTATTTTTTTTTCTGGGGGTTGATCTGTGGATTTCCTAAACATGAAATATATCTCGAGCTTTTAATGCTATTGCTTAATATTTGTCTTATTCTGGTTTGGAGCTAGCATCTGGAAAGGATACTTCATTCACAAGGACACACCTCTTTCACAGGACTGCCATGCGCATGCATTGAAAGTCACTCTAATATACAAACTTCTCCACTGGAAAGTGTATGGGTTGATACTGAGTGACAAAGCAAGTAATGTAACCATAACTGTTTCACCTGGAATGGTTCATTCATACACTGATTTATTTTTCGATGCTGTTTTCTTAGCAATACCCTCAAAGGAGTAAACATTTTTCAAAAACGTACAATAATGTAACATATCTCTCCCTTATAATAATTGAATATCAACGTTCTATTTCGCAACATTCTAAATTTGGCCCCTTTAGTGTTAGGCCGGAAAAACTGCCACTCAGAAGACACTGGCTGGGTTGACTGGCTGCTTTGTGCAGTCCCGCCCAGCGTTCCAAGGTTATTTGCATACGGAAGCTGATTGGACTACACTCCATTCCACACCTCAAACTCACCCCCCCCGCAAGGCAGTTGGGATTTTCAGTTGCATAACATACCTCATAGGGGAGAGGAGAATGATGTCAGCTGCCCTTTCCCTAGGCAGAGGCTGTGGGGGGGTGTTGTAAAACTTAAGACAGGCAGGCAGATAAAGGTTGGCTGATGGTTGCCAGGTTGGAAACTTCCGGGATATTTTAGGGATGAAGCCTGCTAAGGGTGCGGTTTGAGGAGGAGGAGGAAGAGGGGGACCTCAGACAGATACAATGCCATACTCCCCACCCTCCAAACAAGCTGTTGCCAGTCTCCAGGTGACAGCTGGAGAGCTCTTAAAGCTCTGGTGCTAATTCAAAGTGTTGCAATTTTGTGTTTTGGAAAATCTTTAGGAATTGTTTGGTGCATTTACGATGGGGCTCCTGGGGAACTATTGATGCCAATCTTGGCCCAGCAGCCATCAAACCATTCTCTTCAACCCCCTGCTGTGCAGCTGACTTTCCCCTAGGGTTGCCAATCTCCAGGTGGGACCTGGAGATCTCCCACTGTTACAATTGATCTCCAGATGACAGAGATCAGTTCCCCTAGAGAAAATGACTGCTTTAGGAGGGTAGACCCTATGACATAATACCTGCTGAGTCCTTCCGCCCCCCCCCCGCCCAATGCTGCCCTCTACAGAATCCACCCCCCAAACCTCCAGGTATTTCCCTCCTTAGAGCTGGCAACCCTACATTCCCCTCAGTGCCTGTTGGGAGTGGGTGGGGGGGGAGGGGAAGGGAGTGGG